TCCCTATAGATTTAACTGTATGACTCATAATGACCCCACATGATGAATAAATTAGTTTTACTGGTACATGTAGTCACGTGGGTTCCACCCAGGTTAACATTCGTCAAATTTGCTCACTGTAACACGAAGCCAGGTTTTTTTTCCCGCCTTGATGTATATTTTTTCAAAGCGTGCAAACTTCTAGGTTTAAACAGTATGACTCAGGGAATCTTCACACATTCATCTGATTTTTTTAAACAGATAAAATAGCAGAGGAATTATCATTCAGCAAATGCACCCGTCGATATATATTTTCCCTCCCTTTGAATTAAATGAACGAAACTCAAAGTAGGTTTGGTATAAGTTTAACAGATTTCGAGTATCTATAGACATTTAAAAATATTCAATTGTTTCATGTCTATGTTGATGAAAGTGATGCATCACGCGCTTTTTAATTAGAAATATCCATTAGTGTTTGACTATTTCTAAAAGAGAACGATTTGGTGATATATTTTTAAATAGAAATATAAGTGCAAATTATATTAAACTGTGATTTTCTTTTAAAACAGCTACAATTGCTTAGTAAACAAGCTGCAGTTTATAATACCACTCAGGACATGTATCGAGAATACTGTGCGCAAATTAAGGTAGACATTGAAAGTATATAAGAGCTTTGCATAGTCAGATAAGATGATTTATGAGCATTTTTGTAATTCTGTAAACGTAGATTATGTCATTTTTTCAGCACGTACAGGGTATTTTATAACAAGAACCGTTTCTTTTTTAAAGCACTTTGCAGAAATTTTAACTCTTGACGTAATTTATGGCGGAAATTTGAAGTTTGCCAGTGTGCAAACAGAACTAGTGAATGCTAGTTTTATCGCAAGAAAATTTTGTCGGACACATACAAGATATTCTAAATGCAATGTTTTATGCTGTCTGAAAAATTTGCCAGGGACTGTACATTAATTTATGTCTTGTTTATGTGCTTCATAATAGGGTATGTACTTCTTTTAAAGATTATATTTTAAAGAAGCAAGTCTTTTTTTTAATCTTTGGATTAACCAAATAAGATTTTATTAGTGATTTTACATAAAAGGATTCAGTTTTAAATCGCTGTAAATCAAGTACTTGACATATATTAGAATGTTTTGATTGTTTGTTCTTTGTTGACGTACTTTTCCATATTTAAAGAGGCCCAAGGGCCACATCGTGGGAAGAATTTTTCCATTTTTCCCATGTATTCCTATGAAAATCCTTGATCGCCCATTGTGGTCCCACTCTACAGGGGGGAGTCATTATTAAAGGAAACTTGAATCTACCCTACCCGAGGTTGATTCCATATCACTAAGACCAATCACAGCTTTGCTGTTCTCAGGAAGAAGAATTTTAAAGATTTTTTCTATGTTATTCTACTTTGATCACCAATAATGGCATAGCCCTTGCTTCAGGGGTCATGATTTGAACAAACATAAATCTACACTAACACAGGATGCTTAAAAAAAATTATGACCAATCATGACTTTGCTGTTCATGAGAATTTTCAAAAATATTTTTCCTATGCATTCCTATGTTAAATTTTCATCCCCCATTGTGCCCTGTTGCAACCACTATTGAAATAACGACCAGTATTGAAATAATAATTTCAATAGTGGTTGAGAGTGCATTTCAATAATAAACATAGTATGCAACCACTGTTTAGATACGACCACTACCGGAATAATTATTTTAATAGTGGTTTGGAGAGCATTTCAATACCGAACATGGGTTGCAACAACTATTGAAATGAATTGAAATGTTCACATTTGAAATAAAATTTTCAATAGTATTGAAATAATGATTCAAAATTTATTTAAATAATTATTTAGATATTTGATGATAAATAATACTAAAAAAAACATTACAAGATTTATTAAAGTAATCTAACTATTAAAAAAACATGGATTAATGGTTCTTTATGTTCTGAAATATTTTTAATTCAGTTATTGAGTTAACTGTTAAAATTACAACTACAGTGTTCTTGTGAATTATCATATTAAAAGAAATTGATATTTACGTTTCGAAACACTGTAGCAGCACATTTAAATCACTATTGAAATAACCCCTACAATTTTGATAAACTTAATACTAACTTCCCCAGAAATTTGCTTTTTAATGCCTTGACGAGTCGGAATTGGCTTTACTATCCGTATTAGCAATGTCGGTAATTCCATGAATGTGAGCGACAATTTAGTTCTATTCTAAATTCTTTTTATTAAAGATATTCATATTTTCATCAGAAAGTTTGTACATAAAATTATCAGTCTTCTTCCTTCATTTCAATGTAGTCTAGATATTCTAATTTCTACATCTACAAATCATTTCAAAATTGAATATATCAATTGATTGTCTGTTGCTTAAGCTTTTTGCCGATTTGGCCAGATTCAGCGGGATCGTGCTTATAACATTTCCATACATATTTGAATTAAAAGTACGTCGGTATAATAAAAAGTGTCCGTGTATTAATTGAAATTCTAATGCAATTCTTTAGTAAAACACGTTTTGATTGGCTAATGCACTGATGTTTGAAGCAGTAAAACGAGCATTAACTAGCGTGAAAGCATTTTCATTGTGACGTCATAATAGAGCGACGCAAAAACACAATGCTCCGTGACGTATTTCATTTAAAAAAAAAATTCAACAAAATAAGACGTAAACAACAAACAAAATGCATGGATTGCATTAGAATGGGAATAACTAATCTTCTAATTTGGTATTTGCGACCGTTAATGCTGATTTAACGGTCGCAAACATCGGTTTTACCGGCTCCGCTCACGCGTCGCCGGTAAAACTCAGTTTGCGACCGTTAAATCAGCATTAACGGTCGCAAATACCAAATCAGAAGATAGTTATTCCCTAATTTATACGAAAAGGAAAACAAAACAAATTTAGTCATTTGAGATAATTATTTCAATAGTGATCGTTATTTCAACAGTGTCTGCAACAGTGCCCCTTACCCCTGAGGGTCATGATTTGAACAAACTTGAATCTACACTACCAGAGAATGCTTCCATATAACTATGACCAATCACGGCTTTGTTGTCTTTGCGAAAAAGATTTTTAAAAGATTTTTTCTTATGTACTTTTATGTTAAACTTTGATATCCAATTGTTTCCCACCCTACCTTGAACTTTGAAGCAAGAAAACTTAATACATTTTATTAACAAAATAAAAACATACTGAATGAAACATATGGAGATAACGAACAGTATGATAAATTGCATTTATGCAATTTTTACCAAATTACATGTATTTGGCTTTGCCAAGCATTTAGTTGTTGATCTAAGCAAATATGACTTTTAAAGTGAGAACGATATTTAGAGTTTGTGAGAAAATCATTTGTTTGTATTCTTTATCCTTAAAGGACAAGCTGAGTTTTTGAAACACCGATGCTTACGTATGGCAGTATATAGCAAGAGCAGAAAATTTTCAAATGAAAGGCAAACTCCCAGGTCGAACTCAAACTCATAATTTTTGATATCCAAAATAAGGTCTTGTCGTAAGTAATAAAATTGTAAAATATGAAAGTCACAGTACTAAGAGTTCAAAATTATGGCCAAGGTTAATTTTTTTTAAAAGTTCAAGGTAAAACATATCCGTATTTATTGAAAGGTCTTGTCACAATAAAAAAAGTGAAGTACGAAAATCCTTGCACAAACTGGTCCAACGATATAGCCTAGGTAAAAATTGTTTGTTTATTTGTTTGTTTTTTTGTTGTTGTTTTTTAAGTGGGTAACACTCCAAGGTTAAGATGGTACTCAAAGAAAGGTCTTACATGTATCACAAAAGTTACATTTTTGAAATATCATTGCATTAACCCTTTCCACTCAAACTTTTTTGCTAAGTTAAAGTTTTTTTGTTGACAAACAGAGAGGTACATAGACAGACTGACGGAATGATGGACGGACAGAACAAAAAGAATTGAACTTCGATTTCATGGGGCATAAAAGAGATAAAAATCAGAAATACAATCAAAATAAAAAAACGATATATTGATACTCGATCACTGAAATAAAATATGCGTTTGTTAATATATTTTACTATACTGTTATGTGAGTTTGAATTTCATAACTAAACCCTAGTTTTCCACTCATATTAAAAAAAATCAAGAGTTTTAGTGACAAGGTTTTGCGTATGTCAAAGTGATTTGAACGTCGTGGATTTCTAATGGATTTCATAAAAGAAAATTAAACTGAATGTAAATATTGTAGTTAAATTACAATGTTTCTTTACGTGTATCTAAGGATGACAGTGGGTGCCAAACAGGTGTAAATAAACACTATGTTATCTCTCATATCATGCAAGGACATGTATATAAAGTGCTATCAAAATATTGATTCAAATTCTGAAAAATTATTTTCTTTGCTATATTATGAATACGCTTAACCGGAAACAGGATGCCTTAAATCCTCTTGTAGAGGAAAATATGATACAAAAGTAATTTTCTTTTAAGGTAAACCTCTTATGTTGCTAATTTATTGCTCTGGGGGTTGGGGAACTATAGGGGGTAAAGCTGCTAAATATCACTGAGTTAATATTAGAATTTGATAAAATGATAGGGAAATTAATAAGCATACTATTTACAGGAGAAGTATATGTAAATAGTTTCATCATATTTTACTCATAAATGCAAAAGATTTATTTTCAAATAATTAAATAAATCAAATAACAAAAAAACAAAACTATTTAAGAAAACAGCGAGTAAAAAGAAATTGCTATTTAATGAATGCTAACTAAAATAGAGATAATTTTTGGTTCATTTTGCACGATACATCATCAAGTTTAATCTTTTGTTAAAACCAAAGACAGATCAATTTACTATTAACAATAGATAAGCAGACTCGTTCACTTATAAAATATCATGACCTACATAGTCACTGATTTCTTTTAAATTTAATCAATCGGTCACCCCTGGCGTAACTCGCAGCTACTTGTAAAGTATAAGGAAATCAAATTAAGAAATGGTTTTTATTGCAGGAGTTCCTTAGCCGTACATTATTGTCTCAAGTGAAAGAAACGTTAGAAAAAAAGATGCTGTGTTGGAAATTTTGTCTCATGTGTTTTTAGATTACAAGTTTCAAACAAATGAAGAAATCAAGGGACGGGCTGTTACTCTTTCTCAGTGACAATGTCGTATTAAGCAAGAAGAGATTTTCATTAGAATATGTATCAGTGAGAAGTTTGTTTATATGTCAAATCAGCGTCTTATAACGACAAATTTAATCATTTCTCGAATTATTGTAAATGACTTATTGATATGCTAAACGGCCATGTCAAGAACATAGGCGACCTAAGTTGACCTCAGTGTGTTTTCTTACTGAATTTTATATGCGTGAGAATTCCGTGTTTAGCCAGTATGTGGTCAAAGATGAATCTAAGCCAACGACAGTTGGAATTATTTGTTAGTTTATTCCTGTTATTGATATCGTGTGTTATGTCAACAATTAACATCAGCGATTTCAACAAAATCACAGAAATCCAAAGCATAGTTAGTCAGTCAAGACAGGTAAATATATATTTCACCATTATAAAGAATTATATGTGAATAATTTATTTTCTATTTTAGATAATTAAATTCTTATTTTACACCACAAGGCAATAAATTCTTTTTACGATTCTAAAAATGTTCCCATATTTTTTAAAAGTTTATGTTAAAACTCAAGGGTAGATAAATTATTTCAGGCAGAGGAACCCGGTGGAAAACATATTACATGTAACAATAAGATTATGATGATATTGATATGTTGCAGAAGTTGATATAATTAAATAATATAATCATTATATATACATATATAAATAGGTTTCGCCAAAGTACCGATTTCGTGTTAATAAGGTGGATTCCTGTCCTTCAGCTAATAACACGTGGTATGAAGCTGGTGTTAGATTAAACTGTTCCCATGACGTCCACAACAGACTTCAGTACCTCTGTATTCCTAATCAGGAAAAGACAACTTTACTCGAGTTTTGTTACGACAAGATTATGGGTCTTTATGAAAAAGGTACCATTGTATTTAATGTAAATGATGTTTACAAGCTTTAATATTTTATTTTAATTACATGAAATATTTTTAAATTTAACTACATGTAGATCTCAGGTTACAAAAGGTGTCCCAAAACTTCCGTACATGCTTTTGCATCATTAAAGATACTTTACTATTTTATATTAACACAAAGCTTTGCATCTGTCTCAAACTTTTCAAGTGAATAGATTCTATTATCTTTTGTAGAAAGAAAAGCAATTAAGAGACTTGTAGTATCTTTTAAAATTAAAGTGTTGTACAATTCCAGAAACACGCACAGATTTACTTTTATTGTACATCGAGGAAACTTTTCGAAAGTGGCAAAAACTATCGCATAATTAGAAATAATAATAAGGTCATTTAAAAGGTATAAGGAATGACGAATCGTCAGACTTATAAACGGACAAATACATAGACAAACACAGGATTTAGTGATCCCGCGGTTTTGCTCAGCTCTGCAGTTAATACAAAACAGCAAAAAGTTTTAAAGGTGCACTTTATTCCATTCCTTTACTATCTGATGAATCCTTTGTAAATAAACATTAAAACTTTGTAGTTAGCAATGTAAGCAATGACCAAAATTTATTTCCAAAACAAATGTATTTTTTAGGAAAATGTCTACATTTATCAACATCTGGGTTCGTAGATCAAGAGGACTGTAGCATGTTTTTCGAAGGATGTCCAAAGATCCCTTACTTTAGTAGCAATATTTTCAAGTGTAAGGTTAAATATCGAGTCATTTTATGTGATATGCGTTTGATATGAATCTTAGTTTCTTTATTCAAATATAACAATTGTGCAACGTAAATAATCATTATTATTTCACTTGAATTAGTTCTGAAATGCTTGGATATTAACCGAGACCTGAGATGTTTTGTGGCAGATCCGGATTGTCATTTTAGGTATATTATTATATTTTGTTTTAATTAAAATATTGTTCCATATATTGTACACATGAAAGTTGGGATATGATGACCTTTACATTTAAAAAAAAGAAATGGGTTTGGTTTGCAGAAAAGATTTTAAAGATCATAATTTTACTAAGTTAGCGGTACAGAACGAAATGCACGAAATTATTAGATATAATTTGCGAACTTTTTGATCACCCCTCGTAACTTTTGAAACAGTTTTGATAAAGCAAAACGTGCGTGATCGTTCATGTAACATACGATATCGTGCTTGAAGAAGACTCTCCCGTTTGCGGTTTTAATCGTTTGTAATTGTGCGTTAAGTAACGTGTCATTTTCGTTTAATTACTTTTAATCGGAATGTTATATCTAAAAAAGAAACTTGGATGTTGAACGGTTATCAACACCTGAGCTTTTCTGATCAAAATTTGTCCGTTGTCTGTCGTTGTTATCGTTGTCGTCGTTGTAAAAATTATTTGATTGCCAATTTCAATCAAAACAAGTATGCTTAGTTTTATTTTTCCAAAGGGAGATAATTATGAATAAGTGAAAAATTAATAACATCTTTTAAAAATCTTCTTAACCAGAACCACTTGTCCAGGAAAGATAAAACTCATGTGTAGGTATCCTCTGGAAGTGTAAATTAAAGTTTGTTCATATCATGGCTCCCGGAGGAAGGGCGGAGCCACAATGGCTGATCAAAGTTTTACATAGGAATATAAAGAAAAATCTGTAAAAATTTTCTTCTCAAGAACCAGTGGGCCAGGAAAGATGAAACTCATGTTGAAGCATCCTCAGGTAGTGTTATTTAAATCATGAACCTCAGAGGTAAGGGGGTCACAATGCCTGATCAAAGTTTAACATATATTGCAATCCAGAACGGTTCTAAAATGTATATATTTCAGATAGTATTGACATCTTATTGTAAGCAAATTAATCTATGGGACGTTTAAAAAACCGATGATCTTTTATCCAAGTTCTGGCATGAAAAAAAGCAATATTAATTTAATAATTTTCCAACACCTACTACGACACTTGACCTCCATTTATACAGTCTTATTCTGAGCATCGGTCTCTTGTCCCGCATTTGATTTGAACCCACGATGAAGGCATCAACTTCTTACTCTTTTACACAAAAGCAAACTTTCCACATGTTCGATACGCAAGAGCATGCTCTACATATGAACAATTTCTAAAACGAGGTAAATTATTGACAAGCAAGTTGATGAAACAAGAATATCAGCAGTCTCGTTTAAAGTCATCATTTCAAAAATTCTATGGTCAAGACGATGACCTTGTCAGTAAATACAATTTATCATTAAGTCAAATGCTGACTGACGTTTTCATATATGTACTAATTGTTATTCCATTATTTATAAATTGAATTGACGACGGATTTTTCCGTTATTTCCCGATCATAACAAGGAGCACACAGCGGGTGTGACCGGTCAGCAGGTGATGTTCACTCCTCCATGGTACCTGATCCCACCTTTGATGTTTCGGAGGTCATTGTTTGCTCTGCTCCTATTTTGTATTCTTTTATCGACTTTGATATTGAATACTGATTGTTACTTCGATATCCTTCATATTAAAACATTGGTGATCTAAATGGCATTGTAATGATAGTCAATCTCTGAAGCCTTCATTAGCTGACTTTAAGGTCAGTCGAAACAGAGTTTAATTGGAGTGATATATTTTAGCCTATAATAAATTGAATTAATTTTATTATAACTATGTAGGGAAATACGACTTTATTACTCTAATTCATCAATTTGTGGAGGTTAAGAATTTGTGGATAAAGGTATCCGTGAATTTCTTAAAATCTGATGATTTCTCAGTAAATTGGCTGTGTTACGTCAAAGTGCAAATGAATTAATATACTTGTCAAATGTTTTGTTTGGTCCGTCTGTTCTTTTGAATGTCCTTTTTTTATTTTCAAGCTTCGTTGTTCACTTGTACTATTTTGATTTAATATAATACTTTTTTTTACTACTGAGACATATTCACAAATATTCACGATTTTGATTTTAATTATCATATTTTATTGTTTAAATAATTTCAATATATATATATATATATATATATATATATATATATATATATATATATATATATATATATATATATATATATATATATATATATATAATTGTAAATAAAAACAGAATGCTGCAGTCCAAATTAAATGAAATCTTTACTGTTAGCGCTTTCAGCCATGTTGGCTCTTCAGACAGTTATAAAAAATTCTGATTTAATATAATACTTTTTGTACTACTGAGATATATATATATATATATGAAATGATCAGCAATGACTCATATTGACATCACAACAAATGTAGCCTATTTTCTCAATTTTTTTCTCAGGAACAACCACAGTCTGCCGAAGAATTGTAGTGTCATGTCTGGAAGCTGCAATTCTACCACAATAGTACCTAAACCCGAACCAAAAGCAGACAATTGGAATATTGGAAAGATAATGATTCTTCTCATGTCAATCATCGCTATCCCTCCTATAATGATTTGGTGTATGGCAAAATCTATAAAAAATAAATCATGAAACAGGCACATAAGTAACACAATAACAAAATAGATTATATATAAAAAATAAATGATCAGTATAAGACCTCAAAAATCTTAAATCAATATGTAAAAAACGGATACCTGGTAATCCCAAAAATTGGATAAGTAAGTATTCTCTGTTGGTCGTTCACATCCACCGTGAGCCGTATTCATTTACAGGTATTAAAAATAAAGAAATAAAAATTGTCGTAGCCAATTTTTATATTAATAGAAACCTAAAACGAAAAAATAAAAGTATATACAAATCAGCCAAAACACGATACATTCTTAAGATATTTGCTAACAATGTCGACGTTATCATAACAACAATCAAATTAACGAAATGCCGATTTTCAAATCTCACTAATGGACTTTGATATTGAATAGTGTTAGTTATCTCAATATCCGTCATCTACTTACTTATGAGATGCTTGCTTTGTTTTGTTAAGAACAAGCTATTGAGTAGCAAATGAGTTTGGAAACATTATCACAATATACAAGTGATAGTGGGATACTACTTAATAATCATTAAAAAGAAATAAAAATTGAATAATAATACATAAAATAATAAAAGCTGACCATGTAGTAGCTCATTTATCAACAATTTTAATTGTTTGTTGGCTTTTATCGGCTATAGTCATTGAAATCAATGAGATAGATCGATTTGACATTCTACCTAGATTTACAAAATATCGTCGATCAATATGAATGTCGACTCGAAGGCCAAAGGTATTGTAATTTAGAGAGGAAGTAAGTTATGATGAAAAGGAAATTTTTGTTTTTATTTTTAATCTTATGGTTCTTGAGGACTCCAAATCTCATTTACACCTTTTCTAGAATATGCAGTTGCATAGGTCTACTGAAGTTCCTTTTTATCTATACATCAGTAGAACTTCGTTCAAGGATTAAAGATGAGGGCTAGACCTAACAATTTTTCTTTTTCGAAGCTTTATTTATTTTTTCTCCAATCTCTTTATATATGTTATGCTCTATTTACTAATAGTAAGTATTTAGGTAGCAATATCCTAATAGATTGGTCATGTACAAGGGTGTTAGAAGCATGGTGAACTCATACTATAATAATTTATTTTTAGGAGTAAAACAGAGAAGAAACACTCTTAAATTAGTTCCATACTCGACTAGATGTACAGCGAATGTGACTTGGAAGAAAAATGGAGAAATAATTGACAGGAGTAAAAACATTGATAAATTTACAATAAACTCTAACTGTCTTTATATTCACAACTTGACTGAAGAGGACAAGGGGGATTATCATGCAGTTGCATCGTGTAGATTCAAACGCCATACCCATATTGGTTTGTTTCATTTTTAACTCACCTGAGCTGAAGGTTCAATTGAGCTTTTCTGATCACATTTAGTTTGTCGTCCGTCCGTCTGTTTGTCTGTCCGTCCGTCTGTCTGTCCTTCTGTAAACTTTTCACATTTTCGACTACTTCTCAAGAACCACTGGGCAAATTTTGACCAAACTTGGTACAAAGCATTCTTGGGTGAAGGGAAATATAAATTGTTAAAATGAAGGGCCAAGTTTCCTCACAAAGGGAGATAATCAAGAAACGACAAAAATAGGGTGGGGTCATTAAAAAACCTTCTTCTCAAGAACCACTGGGCCAGAAAAGCTGAAACTTATGTTGAAGCATCCTGGGGTAGTGTAGACTCTAAATTGACTCTAAATTTAAAAATAAATTTTACATAGAAATATAGAAAAAATCGTTAAAAATCTTCTTCACAAGAACCACTGGACCAGAAAAGCTGAAACTTACATTAAAGCATCCTGGGGTAGTGAAAATTCTTAATTATGAAAAATCATGACCGTCAGGGGTAGGGCGGGACTACAATGAGGAATCAAAGTTTTACATAGAAATATATAGGAAAAATCTTTGAAAATCTTCTACTCAAGAACCACTGGGCCAGAAAAGCTGAAACGTATGTGAAAGCATCTATGGGTAGTGTAGATTCTAAATTGTTCTAATCGTGACCCCTCGGGTAGGGCGGGGCTACAATGGGGAATCAAAGTTTTACAGTATTGAATCAAAGCATCCTATGGTAGTGCAGATTTCAAATTGTTTAAATTATGATCAGTTGGGTAGGGTGGGGTCTTAATATGTATTACAAGGGGAAATCTTGTAAAGAACGGAATGGTTAAAGCTTCTCAGGTGAACAATATGGCCCATGGGCCTCTTGTTACATGTACATGTATGTTTCAGAAATGACAGATCTAGTTTTGTACAGTGTAAAGACTATTTTCCGTTTTCTATATCATGTATATTATCATTTCTTTAAAAATATATATTAAATATAGATTAATAATGAATTTAACAATTACATAGTGCCTATAAGGGATCAAAATAAAAAGCAATACTATTAAGCATTTAAATAATTATACTTTTCAAACATTTTTATCATGAAGAAGCAGAAGTGTAGTAGATACTACAAATAGAAGACGTCCCCTGCTATTTACAGTTCAATGGTGATAAGTTTAAAGCCACATGCGTTTTCAAAATAGACAAGTCTTTAAGAAGACCATTACTTTAACTCACTAAATAAATTATGGTAAGACTTGAACGATTAAAAAATATAAATGGAGGAAATTAAAAAATCCTTATAAAGATTTTTTTTTTGGAGAAACGTGTTCTGAACATTTTTTTTTTAATTTGGTCAACAAGGATGAATTAAGTATGATTTGATTTAGGCATAAAGAAAAATATATATAGAAATTCAACCCGTTGAATCTATTCCTTTGTTTACTCACATACGCTGAAGGCTCAAGTGACCTTTTCGGATCAAAATGTCTCTGTTGTCTCTCAGGAGTTTGGTGGGGCTAGGATTGGAGATCAAAGTTTTACATAGAATTATTTTTGAAAAAAAAATATTCAAAAATCTTCTTCTCAAGAACCACTTGGCCAGGAAAAATGAGACTTGTAAGAAATCAAGGTTATGTTGATTCAAGCTTGTCAAAGTTATGATACCCAGGAAAAGGGTGGGTCCTCCATGGACGATAAATCATTTGCATCGATATTATAGCAAAAACCCCTTCTTAAGAACAGCAAAACTATGATGGGTCTTATTCATATGTAAGAATACATAGATGGTGTATATTAACTTTTCTTTAATAATATTAAATTGATTAACAGTGTTTTTTCAATATTAAATTACATAGGTATTGTTTTCTCATCAATATTGCATAAACAAATTATGAAATTTGTTAACACTTCAGAAATTGATACAGCACATCTTTTTGGGTTTGAGACTGCATTTACAGATGAAAGCAAATTTGATTACAATGACCAACAATTTACTCCACATTTGGAATCCAAGGAAATATATGTCGTAATATTAAAGACGACGACAATGTCGAAATCAAGTAAAAGTAAGATTAATTCATCTCTTTGAGATAAAAAAAAATGTGTTGAATATTTAATACTGTTATATGTACGACGTTTTCTTAAAAAAATATTTCATAATTGAATAGATCAAAATGATTTAGTAAATGCATTCTATCTTTTTGTTAAACTTTTATAGTTTAAATAAAACTACAAACGTTGACAAAATTAAAAGTGAAGAAAACAAAGGACAAGATAGGGTAAGATCAGTATTTGGCCCCCAATTTTGGGTGTCTTTCAGAATGATCCAACAGTTTATCCATTAAAACCTGTTTTCACCCCTGCCACAAAAAATTTGTACTGGTTCTAAGATTTAGAATGTACAGAGGCCACAGTTAGGTCAGAAAAAAGGTCAATTTTCGAATTTTCTCTCTTTTATGCAAATTGTCATCGATTTTACAGTGCATTTTGTTTCAGAAAACATAGAGCACAAGCTTGCCTATCTACCTAATTTATATATTTTATACAATAATATCAGATGCAGTTTATGTGTAAAAATCTCAGATAGGCAAGCTTGTGCTCTATGTTTTCCGAAGAGAAAAGTGTCTCAAATATGATGATATTCCACCAGAATTGGGGAAATTCTTGAAAATGTCCTACTTCTGCACCCTCTAGTGGCTTCCTTGTAAGCTTTGAATCTAAATTTGTGCTTGTTTTTAGGTAAGCATTATTTTAACTTCTCAACCACAAACTATCGTAATTTTACCGGTGTTCTGATTTTTGCAAGAAATAAGGGGCAAGATTCGGCAGTTACCCTAACTTGTCCTTTATTGTTTAAAAATATGCGACAAGAAAATAATTATAAAGTAGAAAAGAAAGATGGATTTATTTGCTTCCTTCAGTTCATTTCAATGTGTTTTTTTAAATTTCTTTTTCTTTGCAGTCATTTTTGCAAAAGAAACTAGAAGTGAAGAGGATAAGAAGTTGTGGTTTCACACAATTATTCTTCTCAGCAAGAACACTTCGCTGTCACTCATTAATGATAGAGAAGATCTAAAGAAGATAGGTATTTTCTACTACATGTATCTATATGGTATATATTTAAAGATATTAATATATCAATATAATAAACAGTACCGACCAGACCCAACTTGAGACAAAGCAGTCCCGCTTTCTGCTTTCTTGGACTGCTGAAAAATCCCATAGGTCTCCCAGAGCAGTCCCACAACAGTCCACGAATTAACGGTCCCAGTAGTCGCTGCGGTCACAGAGAGCAGTCCCAGCAGTCACGGTGGGTGGGTTTTATTAATTTAAAGGGCGGCGCTAATTCAGAAATGAGATTTCCAATACACAATGGAACTTTAAAAGACAGAGAAATTGATTCTGATAAGTATGCCAGGAATCATTACATGTACGCAAAGGTCATTTATGAACAGTTCGCTCATTGAAACAATTTGAAATAATATTGATTTAAGGAAAAAGGCTTCCACAACTTTGCAGCACTGTTAGGGCTTAAAAAAGGAGGCAGGGCCTAATTTATACGGGAAAAGTTTACTGTGACGTCACACAAAAATATGACTTTTATGTATTTCTCATAATACGTGAAAATGATATAATTTGCAACTTTTAACTGTATTAGCATAATAAACAGCAAAATAACTTATCAATGCATTAAAAAAAAGTTACTAGTTAAATCACACGTAGCTGGTTATAAACATAGTACTGATCGCGATGAACTTGTAAACATAAAGTCATATTGGTAAACATGACGTATTTCATGTGCTGTGAGAGGCAGATTGAGGATTTTTTTAACAATGAAAAATGCTTTTTATTATTAAACGGAATATTATTTACAGGTTTTAAATAGTCGATTCATACCAAAGTATATCCTTTGTTTAGTGCGATTATTAATTAACTACCAAGAGAATGAATTTTATTAATTATTTCGTGTTTTTATGTACAGGTTACATATATTTTACATCGAGATGCCTCATAAAATAGTACTTTCGCAAGGGCATACACTGCATAGATCTGAACCATTTTTTGAATAAAGATAAAGGATATTTTCCTTAACTTGAGGAGCGCTGCAGCTTTCTTTAAATCGAGGGCGTGATTTTATAAGTACACAAAATATTTGGTAAAAGTCGAACATATTTCGACATTGGCCTAATTACTTTAAAATTTATCTATTAAAACGCGAATTCTATTCAAAGCAGCAGCACTTTTCAGAAACTACAAAGTATGCAGAAACAACTAATAGTTTGAATTTTGAATTTCAACTAGGGTATGCCCTTGCGATATTTAAATTGGTTAATGACCTACATACAGTACACGAACTACGCATACATCACGTGACTGTCCTTTGATGGGACTAAACTTCATACTGTACAGAGTGGGTTATACTATGCTATTTCACTAAGTATTAAAGTTCTGTGATAATAAAACAGCTTAATTAAAATAAATTCAATTTTTAAAAAATCCCTTTTTTGTGCACGTCTTTTTTTTTTTTTTTTTTTTTTTTTTTTTGATTTCTCATAGTAGGCCTTAACAGTGCTGCGTTCAGATATAAATTACACTGAACAAGAATATAAAATCACAATTAACTGGTATATTAATTATTCATTTTCTTTATTTTCTGTGATTGATACTGGTTCCAAAATTTATTTTTTTATACAGAAAATTAAACTTAAATTAACTATTTTCCACCAGAAGTAGCTTTCAATAGATCTTATCATTCCATACCATCGGGGAACTCTAAAGGCATTTTATTAAGTATTGGGGCTTAAGAAACATTCTTTGTTAATTTTGCCATGTAATATTTTTCAGTCATAATTATTTTTACTGACATTTCAATATAATTACTGTTAGTTTCTTTGGCACTTTAATACACTGTGATTGCGTGTACATCTGTAAATCAACAGTACGAAAACGACAGATTATGTTCAAAATCAATTACATGTAATCCCTAAAGAAATTATACACAATTCTTTTATTAATTATTTTAATTTTATAGATTGAAATTAGGTTCATTGTTGACCAGCATGTTTAATGATGTGTAACACTTGAACATGTACTTACAGAGTAAATAACATGCATAATTGATTTTCTGCCCAAAGGTGATTGAAACTGCAGTTGTTGATACCATTTCACACACATTAATTGGCCAGGTTAACATAAGCAAAACAAAAAAGAAATAAATCACAATTAACGGTATTTTCAAATGTTAATATTTTAAGTAAATGTTCTCTTAATAACTTGTTTATAAATGAAAAACCAATTCATTAATAAACTCCCCAATAATTATTTACATTATTTATGTTACGGAAAAATAGTAGCATATTTTATTTCATGGTCATTTAAGAAATTGTTAGGTTTTTAAGGGTTGCATAGAATACTCCTTTTTAGCTTGGTAATTATAAAACGTGTAGCTTTTTCAATTGCAAAAATCTTATATACGTATAACTGTAATTAGTAGTGCCAATGCATATTTGGAGTACACAAGTTTACATTAAATAAAAATTAAGATGTTCTTTTTTCCCCATAAACTTGTACTTTATTTTCAGGGATAAATATCTTCTTATGACTTCCTTATTTAACAACTTTATTTTTTAAATGATTATTCTAAACTACATTTCTGTAAAATAAAACAGTCTATGAAAATATTAATTTACTATAAGAATCTCTACGTATTAAATGATTGTAAGAAACCGTTGCTTTTTGATAGTTTAAATCCTCTCTTCTGCGAGTAAACAAAACATCTGGGAGCCTGAAAATTCAGAATACACAAAGGGACGGGGCTATCATGTCACTCAGAACCTTTTTCACATATGAGTTTACAAAGCAGTCCCAGGGTCAGCTAGGACTGCAGGGTCTGCTTTCTAGAGCAGTCCCACAGCAACACAAAGCAGGTCCGGGGACTATACTTTCTGGGACTGCTTGGGTGTCAGGTTGGGACTTGTCGGTACTGTGAATATTTAATTATACAATAACAAAGATATAAACTTAAAACATCAGGAAAAATAACCTCCTACAGAAAATGTAAATATGTTGGATAAAACGAAGAATCTGCTTAAAAAAATATTGTAATAGAATTGCCATGATAGTTTATTGGATATAGTTTTTCTTTTAGATTTAACAAATATTATCTTAACTCTCATTATCACAAATTTGATGTAATTTTTGTAATATTCCACCAAAATTGTAAAGACTTCCATGTTTTAATGCATTATTCACAACAGTTATAATATCTGCAAAATTGTAATGTGTGTGTTGACTTTTGCTACCCTTACCTTTAGTTTCAAACATCGTTTACCTCATTATCACTAGATAAACGCCATGCCATTAGATTTTAAATATCTTTCTTTAAGCTATCTAGTGTTGAAGAGATCGTTTTTTCCTACTGATATTACGGTTATACCGTTTTATCCAAATGAATTTTGATTCTTTCCCGTAAGTTAGATAAACTTCAGAAAGAGATATTGTTTGCCTCTAAGATCGAGCATACTGATCCCAGCTAAAGTTTAAAGTGTTGTGAATGTTAAGTTTAATTTTAAGTACTATAATGTACACTTAGCACTTTATCATTGCTCTAAAACACAGTAAAAGAATAAAATAAAGATCTTCTTACGACAGTAAAAGTATCTGACAGACTAAAAGTTAGTTGAAATTGATGTCTCACAATTAAAAAATATCCAATTTTTTGAATTTCATATCTCTATCGCGTTCAAATCATTTAGGAGTGGAAACTCAGAAACGTCTTTTCAAGGATTCCACATTCTGCCACAATTTGGTAGAGGAACCAGTAGCGGCAACATCGTTATGGAATAGTATAGTCCTGGAGGATAATGTATTGAAGTTTGCCAATGAAGACGTGGAAATTGAAACATTATGTGTATTGTTTCAAAAGTGCTCTACCCCAATGACCATTATCAATTACATTTTTGAATTGAAGAATTCAAAACTGTTATTGAAATACTTTCGGTTAAAGTGCTATCAACGCGTCGACAAGGAAGTGTGCATATATCTACCAAACTACTTATCAGATAGATATATTACAACTCTACTTAACATAACTCTGCAAGAAACAAAATTTAAAGGTTTGTTTGACTTATTGATGAATTCATTTATTTTTTTTTAAATATTTTAATCTTTAGAATGCATTTGAACATAAAAGTCCTTGTTATAAAGATTATTTTCATCAAGGGACATCGACACAAAGCGAAGATATAAACAGAGCTGAACAAAATACTGAGATGGAGTTTTCTAAGAAAAAAGTCCGAGAAATAGAAGGTATTTAGCTACAGATTAAATAAACAAGAGTCAAGAAAGTTTACCTGCATAATGTTGATTTGTATTCATTTGATGATTCTTATCATTTTTTTTTTACTTTTAGACTCCTTCCATCAACCAACTGCAACAGTGGTTGACACTGTTTTGTTCTATTGCTTCATCAAAAATGCGGTAACAAAAAGTTATATAGAGAAGGTTTTCCGAAGCTCTGGATATGTAAGAAAAGAAAAAGGAAAATACATTTGCCTTTCGCCGGACTTCACCAAAAAATTGATAGAAAGAATGGATACAGATATACTTATCCATAAAACTATTAGTGATAGCAGCATTCATTCCATTGTCAGTGAACAATGTAAGTATTTTTTTTGCTTAAATTTATAATTTGAAAAATACATTATAACTGAGAGATTTTTAAAACATATTTTTAGTCGAGTTTTGATTATCTGTTAAATAGGTAAAAGACGTTCAAAAAATGTAGTTTGGAATAAATCTAATATAAATTTTAAAATTTAAATCACATATTCTGAATCTATACGGCAAAGTATGTATGCATTAAATATTCAATAAGATTTTAGAAAGACTTCATCTTAGATATTCTAAGTAGAGTTTTAAAGATAAAATCATACCGAAAATCAAATCTCTCATTTGGAATATTTCTTTTTATGGATATCGTATTATCTTTTTAAATGGCTGACTTATTTTAGGATTTTTTTTCATACTTGCATACAGTTACGGAATGGGTACGAGAGAAATAACAAATTCATGGTAACCCGAGGGAGAAAACTATGTTCCGAGGCGGCAAATCCGCCGAGGGTAATATTTTCCAAGCGAGGGGAGCCATAAATCTGCTATTTTCCAAGTTCTCATTCTAAAACTTTTTTATTACACCAAAAAATCATAGGTGGATCTTTCTTTTGATAGATATTCTGAATATTTTTTCACATATTTTTGGCTTCGCTTTATATATATTAAAATCCTTTTCTAAATATATAATAAATATTATATATCCAATCCATATTTGAAATTAACAAATATTTCAGGAGAGAAAACACAAACGTCACTTTTGATTACTGCTCTTAATAAGATAGATTTGAAAGAATAAAAAGTCTTTACTATTAACATGTTTGGTTTCAAAGACAACAAATAAACATAATAGAAATTTTTAATATTTTTGTTTTCTTATGATTGCTTACAATAAAAATATGATGCATAGATAGATTCTGAGATAGATTGAGATTTGGGGATAAAGATACAAATAGCTTGTATATATTTAACAATGTCTAATTTGAAACGATATAATCCTGCTTATGCAATAATCTATATGGCGAGAACTCTGTCAGCATCAATATGTCAGCCAAACCTAATATCAAAAAAGCTCATTTGTTGGCCCAACGATGAATACCAATGTTGGACAAGCCTTTAAGTGCAATTTAATGGACTATTGTGAGGTCAATATATATACATTAGCATAGCATTGGCCCGATACCTATATATTGGCATCGCATTGGACCAACAAGCCAAGTCGTAAGCCCAATATTGGACTTATATTAAATTTCAGTGGGGTTTTTTGCCCACTAGTGGACACCTGTTTAGCCAATAATACATTTTCTATTTACTAGACAAAACTGCAAACATACCACCTTAGTAAACTTATATTTTACTTTTAAAAACTTGTTTATGATGTATTCAAATTATGTTACTTTAATAAACAATAAGGCATATAAATGTCAAACTTTATAAATAAGTATAATGGTTACTGAAGCGTTACCAATTTTTAGAAAGAATGAAAAATTTGTCTTTTCCATTTTGGAAAAATAAATTTCCTAATTTTTTTCTCTGTATTTGTGTTCTTAATATTTGTACTTATTAAAAACACAGAAAAAAATACACGGCATGCGGCATTTGACGCTAGATGAGCGTGCTAAAGCAGACAGTATGGCGTCTGAAAGGGGGTACGTTCCTTTAGAGAAATTTGTAAGAATGAAAATAATAAAAAGATTTTATGTTTCTTAGCTCTCCTGCCAGACACTGAGCTTGTTTTTTGGTTGAAGCAGGCAAAAACAAACAACATTATTGAAGTTAAAAAATGTCTTTTATTGAAGTAAATGCCGTAAAAGTAGTAAAACATATTTACAATACAAGAGAGGGGGTCAGGAAATGGAACTTAAATATAAAATATTACATACCTTTATCACAATATTGCACAATCTGACCCCCAACACCATAATGTCATTGTAAATGATATACGTTGTACATCGAAAAAGGGGGATCAACCAGCAGACTAATTAAGAAAACAAAAGATGGAAATAACATTGCCATGTATAGTATATATATATCTTCAGTTGGCCCCCTCCTACACATAAAAAAACTTAATATACATGAAAATAAATGTGCTACATTGCTGCCTGCTATCAAAAAAGGTTGGTAAAAGAAAATAAAACTCATAAAAGCCATAATCCGATTGCAAATTGGATCTACCCACTAAAGCAAACAGTATGGCGTTTGCAGGAGGTACGTTCCGTTAGAGAAATCTGTAAAAATGAAAATGATAAAAAGATAATGAATTACTCTCATGAAAAAAATTTTGCGAATAGAATAACAAACATAAATATGTTAACTGTAGAGAGCTACGGTATTAGTTTGGCATTATAAGACAAATTGAAAATTATTCCACAGGACAGGGTTAACCGGAAGTTGAGTGGATTATCTGATAGGAACTAAGGCACAAGATAAGTACTAGTATAATTGTTAATCGCTGTTTATTATTTGATTTATAACTTAGCCACTTCTTCTGTTGCAACCTCAGAGACCGCCTTTAGGGATCTAGATTTTTCATATCTGAGCAAAAACGATGCGCAGTGCACATCTGGAAATCGGTTTTCGGACATAAAGGCCATCCAAGAGGTTTTCCATGGTACCAAGACGTTTGTTAATCCCTCTGTTTTGGAAATAATGGTATATTATATATAGCAGTACCAACCCGGTAAATGTTCAATTCACAAATAAGAATAAACAAGCGGTGCGTTAGCAATTTTGTCTACTGAAGAAGGGACTTTTAACCCTGTCTATCTTTCATAAATAGAAATTCTATGTTGTATTGAATTTTAGCATGATGTTTTAAAATATCTCAAGCTTGTTTTCCCGACATTTGACGAAATGAAACGAGATAATGCGAATTTTAAACATCTTTCATCGGCAGATATCGGAACAAAAAGGTAACTAAATACCCAGTAGATCATGGGTAAAAATCTGTTTTTTTTTTTAAAAAGTGTCATATAGATTTATGCAGATAATCGTACATCTTTATAATAATTATTTCAATTTGTCTATAGCATGTGTTAATTTTGTTCTAAGCTGAAATTATGTAGAACTTACGTTTATAAATTGATCAATAAGAAAACGTACAATTGTAAAGAAACATTCTTATTCAATGGACTGATAGTTGTACGTAGCCTATACATTTAATATCCCTCCCGAAATAGTTCATAGGCGAAATTCTAAATCAAGCTTTTATGGAGGGGGGTATGATTGATTGTGTATGTTTTAACGTTCCTCTACAGGAATATCTTTCACTCCCGCAAAGTGATTGTGTATTATGGGGGGGTAGGGAGGATGGGTTGGGAATTAAATTGTCTGTTTAACTGTTCAGATGTCTGTCTGTCCCTCAAGTTTTTCCCAGAAGGCCAGGCTATAACTTCAAGAAACTGGAAACATACTCGATAAAAAAAGATTTCCAATGATCCTAGGATGTGTCATTGTATTGATTCAAGGCAATATTACGGCAAATTCAGGGTCACTGGAGAAAGAATTAATGTTTAGTCGCAGTCATTTATGTGTAATCGAGAATATCTGTAAGCTCATACTTGATAAAGATATTGCTTGTGACAAAAAGGTTTTTCTACGATTTTGACTCAGAGAATAGTATCATTTCAATGTAGACTATATTTGTGTTAGTTCATACTTGATACAGATTGCTTATGGTCCGCTTGTTTCAGATGATTAAAATAAGGCCATTTTAACAAACTAATTTAGGATCAATGACAGAATAGTTGTAAACTTCTTGTCAGGGTTATGGATTTGTAATCACTAAAAGTTGTTTCAGATTTATGGTTTGTCTTGACACAGAGCCGTTAAGATCAAGGTCACTGACAGAAGAAATATTTTCTTTCCCATGCTATAAATTATTAATTGAAAATCATTGGAAGCTCTTACTTGAAACAAAGATTACTTATAATTGGAGACTGTGTCATTACCCTGATCAAAGGTCTTTCAGGAAAATCAAAGTCACTGACAGAAAAAAAAAATGTTCAAGCATAACTTTGTAATTAAGATTCACTGGAGGCTCATGCTGAGAAGAAAGGTTGTTCAAAGAAGAAAGTGCAGTCACCTTGACCCAGGGTCGGTACTTCCTGTCCACAGCTCCAACGGAAGATCTACTCGTTGCTTTGCAACCAGCTCGGATCTAGTTATGACCCTTATTATGACCCTTTGTAATTATGTCTCTCGTAGGGACAATAAAATGCAACTTTTAAAGACAACAGAAAAAGCTTGATTTCTTGCGCTGCCCATTACAGTGATTTAAGGTATGTCACTCGTCATTTTTTTTTTTTGGAAAAGTTCTCGCAGATCCTTTTGCTTCAAAGCTGTTTATTAAAATTCAATTTTTATAACATATTTAAATTCAACGATGTTAATGTTTTAACATTCAACGAAAATGCTGCTCAAAAAGCTACGAAGAAGCAAGAAATATGAAGGACTATTTCTTGTGGTGGAGGATATTTAGCAGATAATTCTGCAAATCTGCACATTTATTAAATTTAATATTTTGGAACTTAAGCCTCACATACTTTTACTCGGAGAATATTTTCCGTTTTGATATTGCTAGTGATATTTAATTGATATTGCTAATGTGATATTTAATATAGTTGCCTTAATTCAAGAAATACGTCACGGAGCATTTGGCGTCGCTTTATTATGACGTCACAAGGAAAAAGCTTTCACCTTCTTTAGCCAATCAAAAACTTTGAACAATTGCAAAAATAAAGATTTTTCAAATAAGTCTTGATAAAATTTATACCATTTTTTGCCTGAAAATCTCTTATTTTGACCAATATTTCAAAATTGACATCACTGACACCCACTTTTTCTTTCATTATTTTAAAGTGACTGATCAGCACTTAAGTCGTAAAAATGCTTAATTTTAAAAAAATGTTTTATTGCTTATTTAGTTTTTCAATTCCCCAAATATTTTACTTTTTAGTGCAAAAAGGTCACATAATAATTTCCGCGCATTAATTTGGAAGATTTGTTTAGAGATAAATACTGTAAATCACTTTTTATGTAATATAAAAC